AACACTGGAGAAGGGGTATAGGGAATCAGGATGTCTGAATTCTATTCCTGGCTCCTCCTATGTAGCCTGGGCAGATGAGTCTCTCTGTGCCTCAGTTTCCAAAAATAGGGACAATGCCAACCTGACAGGATGCTGCAAAACTGACATAATTGTAGCTGGATAAAAAGAGGGACCTAATTGGACACTGCATGTGGACCACCTGTGGACTCTTCATATTTGATTCAATGGCATGGCTCAGATTACAACGGGCTGCACCGGGGATTGACTGCAGGGAACATAATCTGGCCTCAGTGGACAAAGCTCTGGAGAACTGTTGAGCGCGAGTCTTCCTGCTGCGGAGGAGGAAAGATGTTGTTACAACAGAAACATGAGGACCAAAGCCATCTCCGAAGTCAGCAGCTCACTGAGGGGTTGGGGAGCAACCCGTGGGGATGGTCTGTCCGTTTCACTAAGAACAATCCAGGAGGCAGCTTGTGCAAAAGGTGACTTTATTGAACCATCCGTGCACAGTCACCACAGCTCTCTCACTAGTCTCTCCTATTTTCTTTCGCCTTCACCGAGATGGCAGGGTGTCCAGAAAGACCACGGGGGGGAGGGGAGCAGCTTACAGCAGCAGCAGACTGCGCAGCTCCTGGGAGGAGGTGACAGGCAGGGAGCAGGCAAAGTTTTCACAGAGATAAGCAGTGGCTTTTCCGTCTTTCCTCTCCAGGGAGGAGAGAAAGGGCAAGTGGTGGTACAGGAATCCAGAGCTGTCCCCGTCCGCCAGCATCAGCACCTGGGATAAACAGAGGTGGAGCGGGTCAGGGATGGCGTGCGAGGGTGAACACAGACGTGAACCATTCAGCTCCCCTTCCCCACCCTGGGATATGCCAGTGCTGACTATCTCAGGCCTATGCACGTTAGGAGAGCCAAGGATGGAAGGCGAAGAGAACCAGAGACAGTTCTTAGGGATGTCCATTACATCTCAGGAAAACCTTCCCAACTAAGAACAGTAGGGCAAGGGGGGCAGACTGCCTTGGGAGGCTGTGGAAATATCTTCACTGGGGCTTTTCCAACGGCGAGGGCAGGACAAGAGGCAACCAGTTCAAACTCCAGCTGAGCAGATGTCCATTACATCTCAGGAAAACCTTCCCAACTAAGAACAGTAGGGCAAGGGGGGCAGACTGCCTTGGGAGGCTGTGGAAATATCTTCACTGGGGCTTTTCCAACGGCGGCTGGAGAGCCACCTCTCGGATGGTGTAGACACCAAATCCTGCACCGTGGTAGGGGGTTAGACGAGATGACCCTTGTAGTCCCTTCCAGCCCAATGCTTCTATTTCAGAGAGCGCTGGCCCCTATGGACCAACCAATGCTGCTGGAAGAATGTGGGACCACTAGTTGCCCCCATTTCTAGCCCTCTCCCTCGACATGGCGTAGCCTGCCTGACCCAGCCTGCTGCCCTCCTCCCCTTGTGCATGGCTCCCAGGAGGCCTAAACACTCCTTTGTCCCTCTTAGAGACAAAAGCCGGACCAAGCCCTCCCCTCCACAGGGAGCACAGGAGCATACGGCCAGCGTCCCTCCATGCAGGTCCTCTCCTCTCCTCCTGTCTGCGATC